CATATAATAAAAAGGAATGCTGAAGATTTGGAATATTAAATTTCAAATTTCCTAACATCAAAAATGTCTAGATGTACAGCTGCCTTCATTCAGCTCCCCAATGCATTAAAAAAATAAATTACTGTTGTTTTTAAATAGCCTACATTGTGATAGCTGTAGAAAACTGAAATCTGATAAGAACCAGGACACAAATTTACTGTGGAAAACTTAAACTTAGTACACTTTCTATACATTTTCTCCTTAATAATTTACTTTCTCTCATAACTGCTTTCTGTAAGTCAAAATTATGGCCAGATTCAATACAATGAACTAATGTGCTGAGAGTGTTGTTTTATAAAAGATCCCTACTGTGTTTATATATTCTTTTATTTAAATTAAATATTTCTTGTGATGTTTATTAGAATCTATAATGTAAATTCCTGTTTCAGATTGATATTTTGTTTTCTATTTATTCTCTTTGTTTTAGAAATAGTTGTAACAAAAAGTATGTTTTTGTGTATATATATATATATATATATATATAGTCTAGTGCCTATATATATATATATATATATATATATATATATATATATATATATATTGATATTAAAAATAGATTTTAGCCAGTTCTAAATTTAAATATGGTTACATTTTTAACAAAAACTCTGTGGTAAGTATTTCAAATTTATGATTAGCATTTATTCCAAGTTTATTATATATATATATATATATATATATATATATATATATATATATATATATATATATATATATATGTATGTGTGTGTGTGTGTGTGTGTGTGTGTGTGTGTGTGTGTGTGTCGGATAAAAATTTCAATAGACATATAGAATATCTGAAACTTTGGAATCAGTTAATGAGACAAGTGCATTGAACTTTTGATTTATTGAATATTTTTATATAATTCTTTTCAATCATAGTCATAACTGAGTTGGTAAGCAGTAATATGCATCTAATTTTATTGACATTGTTTATGTTATTTATATTTTTTCTTTTCATAAATTTGACAGGCTTTCCTCTTTCCATTATATATAAAATAATTAGAACATTGGAGGAGTTTAAAAGCATTTTCAATGTATTTCTTTTAATCAAGTAAATATTAACAGTTACAAAATCAAAGTATTTTTAAACAAAAGCCAATAATTATTCTGAATTTTATTTTGTTATGGTGCAAAGAGAAATTTATGAGATTATTTTTATTATTAGATTTATGATAGAAACTTACTTTTATATCATTATAAGAATGGTTTAATATTGTTTGTTTGTGTTTCACAAGTAAATTCTATTGAGGTTCAATTTTCTTTAGTTTATTTACAAGAACAGATAATATTGTTTGCAGGGATTTATTATCAACAAATGTTGTTTGCTGAGGTAAAATATTTTGAAAAGGACCAGTCACTAAAACACTACTAAGAGGCAATTCCATTGATAAGCCAGATTTCTGCATATAAAAATCATTGACAAGAGTATCTATTGATAGAGGGAAAGATTAATTTTTAGATGTACTAGAAGCATTTTTTTATTCAAGCATTTGTTAACAGATACATTTGTGTATAGGGATTTGATACCTAAATTAGACTATTTTGAGTGACTAAGGGGGATAAATATGATAATCAAATTTATCCCCCTTAGTCTCTCAAACCGATTGCCTGAAATTTTTATGTGATGGATTAATTGATCCAAGAAATGGTGTTAAAACTTTTGCTCTGATTTTTTATTATTCTGTGAGGAGCACTACCAATATGAAAGGTCTCATTGGAATGCTTACTTTGTGTGTTTTGGATAGCAAAAAATCCTAGGTATTCTAGGGTGATATTCTATTAATTTAATCCAGGACTTGTCCTCATAATTAACTAATCTTTTAACCCCTTTATTAAATGTAGAGAAATACATTAATAAAACGTTTTAAACTCCTCCAATATCCTAATAATTTCATATAATTTCCTTTTTATTTAGTTGATAGGAAATAAAAATAAAATAAAAAGGAAATGATATAAAATAAATACTTATGTAAAATTCTTTCCTTCATCATTCATGATTATTTAAAAAGAATTTATCTAAGCATAAACATAAAATTTGTTGCAACTACTTCTAAAATCAGAGATTTTATACAAAAGAAAACCTAAAACCTGAAGCAGAAATTTTCACAAGACTAATAAATTTCACAGGAAATACACTGGTGAAACTTCTAGGTATTTAAATAAAATATATAAACACAAAAGATCTTTTATTAAATACTTAATACTTGTCCATTGTAATGAGTAATCATAATTTCAACTTGAAAAATGCAGTTTTAATTAAAAGAAAAAGTAACTTACGAACGTGAAAATGTATAGAAAGTGAATTAATTTCTGATATTTTCATAGTAAATTTTATACCATACAATATTATGTTTTAATAGTTGTACAGATATCACAATGTGGGATAATTAAAAACAATAGAGATAAAAACAAAATTATTGGGAAGCTGGATGAAACCAACTAAGCTATATGCCTAGACACATCAGCTGAACAGAAATTGTAATTATAATGTCTACATCTTCAGCATTCCAAAAGTTTGTTTATATTATTGCCCTTTACCTATGCATATATAATTCCATCAATAAGAGCATTATTTTAGTCTGATGAAGTCCTTTTGAAAAACCAAATGTGTTACAAACCATTAGTCTGATAGAGTTTACAGGTTATGTTTCTAGTATATATAGCACGTAAATCTTAAGAGTTCATATAAATCAAATCTATTTCTTTCCACCTTGTTTCCCTTTTTTCTTTTCTTTTTTTGACTATTTCACCCCAAGTAAGGATTTAAAACGACAAGATGCAAGAGGTTACTGAGTGTGAGAGAATATGAGTAAAAATACATTAAGAGAAAACAATAAAAGAACAGGAATTAAGAAGACAGAATACGACTGACATTGCATTTAAATTTTTAAAGATCACACTTGACTGGAAAACAAGACGGAAGACAGTTTCACAACTGAAAAGTGCACAAGAAGCAACTGTTAGCATAAAACTTACAGTTACATCTAACCATTTCAACTGTAAAATGAGACCTTGCAGCCAATCTAGTACTGCACTTAAATTTATAAAGTCTAGGTACCACAGAGGAAAGTTCATTAATATTTGTCAATATACAATGGGGAGAAAACAAATATTCATACACATACAAATTTTTAATTCATTGTATTTCCATCTAATAAATATACTTTTCATATAATTAACTGTACACAGATGCATAATAACAGAGTATACATAGAAAAAAGAAAAAAAATTAATTTAATAGAAATAAATCCCATTTATCCATTTTAATTGGTGAAAAAAGTATTCATACAATGCAAATTTCAGATTTTAAAACATTTAAATTGATTTAATACTTTAGATTATTAAAGTAGAATGTTTCAATAATGTTATCTGTAGTCATTTTAAGCCTAAAAATTACTAACATATTGATATTCATGCAAGAAAGTTTTTCATCATAACAAGAGGTAAAAAATTGACAAATTCACAAAAAGAACCAATTGTTAAGCTCTGAAAAGAAGGTAAAAGTTACAGGAAAATCTCAAACAACCTTAATATTCCATTTACTACCATTCATTGCAAGGTATAAAAAACTCAAAACTGCTGAAAGCCAAAGAACGGGTGTTCCATGGGATTTCTGCAAAATTTTTGAGGAAATTAATGTGTCAAATTAAACAAAATCCAATGGTTGCTCGTCAAGAGTTGCAGGATGATTTGCTTTCATCAGGAATCTGTGTCATGAAACAGACAATAAGAAATGAAATTCATAAGAACAATCTAAAGTCACACTAACCTCAGAAAACTCCACTGCTATTGAAAAGAGACAGAGATGCCAGGTTTGAAATTCATTTGAGAATATAAGAATAAGGAAAAATCATATTGGGACAGAGTAATATTGATGGAGGAAACCAAAATTGAGTTTTTTGGATGTAATTCTAGAAATCATGTATGGAGGAAAGATTGCAATGCCTTCAAACAAAAGAACACAGTTCCAACAGTGAAATTTGGAAATGGCTTGGGGATGTTTTTCTGAAAATGATACTGGCAATATATCAGTAATAGATGGTAGTATGAATGCCACAGTATATCAAAATGTTTTGGAAGCAAATTTAATGATTTCGTTTGAAAATCTTGAACTTCCTCCTGATTTCATCATCCAACAAGATAATGTTCTTAAATACACTGCAAAATCTACAAAAAAATAGCTTGCTAAAAATAATGTAAATATCCTGAAATGGCCAAGTCAGTTCCCAGATTTAAACCCAATCGAGAATCTGTGGCTTTATTTGAAAATTCAAATCCATTCAAGAGCTCCAAATATCATTGATCTGAAGATCATATGCAAAGAAGAATGAAACAAAATACCAACTAAAATTTGCAAATCATTGAGAACTACAAGAAGAGGTTGGTTGCTGTAGAAGGGAATAATGGCTATTCTACAAAGTATTAAATGAAGATTATGTATTCTTTTTTGTATTGTATGAATACTTTTTTCACTGATTAAAATGGATAAATGGGATTTATTTCTATTAAATTAATTTTTTTTTCTATGCATATTTAGTTATTATGCATCTGTGTACAGTTAATTATATGAAAAATATATGTTTATTCATTAGATGGAAATACAATGAATTAAAATTTGTATGTACAAATATGTTTCCTCCCCACACTGTATATGAGACATGTGCTGAAAATTTAAAATTCTGGCCCACTTTCAAAAAATATCTGAATTTTTAGTAAATTTTCTTAGCTAGAGAAAGAACTTTTCAACACCCACTCATAAAATCAAATAATGTATGTACGCACACACAAAGATCATAAATTATTTATCTAAGAAAAAGCTAAACAGACCAATAACAAAACTTAAACCCTATGTATATGCATTCAGTTAAATAAGTGAAATTATGTTCATTGTATTCCATAAACCAGTTTAGTAATTTAGTTTCATTACACAAAGAATAATCTTTTTATTTTTTTTTTCTTACCTTTGCCCGAGCTACCATTAATTTTACACAACGATCATGTGCATGGTCACAAACAGAACACAGCATTTTTTTCAAACACTGAATAGTTCCCAAAAATTCTGCTTCTGAGATCATAACATCCAAATCTTCACTGCTGTTTAGAGAAAAAAAAAAAAAAAAGTCTGATGATTTAAAGAATGAAAAAAAAAAATTTTTTATATATTTGTTTCTTATCAAAAGGAAAAAAAATTTTCATACCAAAAGGGAGAAGAGTCAGCAATAATACCATCAAATATAGTACTTCTTTGACAATAATCAGGCAAAAAAAAAAAACAATCATTTAATACGGCATTATATGAAATGTACATTTTTAGGACATCCTAAGAAAAAATAAATCAAAAGTCAATTAGAGAATTAAAAGCAAAGACAGTTTTCAAATTCATATCATCAGAATTTTTTACACATTGTTCTTTATTATGAATAAAAAATTCTGATGATAACTTTGACATTTCTATAGGATCATTGGATTCTGCAGAGTCTTCTGATCTGGTTGGTTTATATATTTTGTATAACCTTACTGCTTATGAGAAGATTACTCTAGATAGTATAGGGCTATATAGAGATGATGGTCTTATGGTTGTAAAAAACTCTATAAAAATGAAAGTTGATAAACTAAGAAAAATGATTCATAGGGAATTTAAAAGTTTATATCTTAAGGTTAAAATAAGTACTAATACCAAACAAGTTGATTTTCTCGATATAACATTAGATCTAGTCTATGACAATTTTCAGCCTTATATGAAAAACAATGCCAACCCAATCTATAGCTACCCTAATTCCAATCGCCCACCATCTGTAATCCGACATATTCTCTCCTCTGTAGCATGTAGAATTAGCAAACACTCATTGAACAAAGATGTGTTTGAGAAACAATAGAGTTCTTATGAAAAGTGGTTATAAGTCCACTGAAAATCAGTTTAGAGAATATGATGGTAATTCAAAGAAAAGAAATAAAAAGATCATCTGGAAAACACCTCCACTTAATAAATTAGTTAGTACAAAGTTAGGCCATAATTTCTCAAATTAATTGACAAACATTTTCCAAAAAGCAATCCTCTTATCAATGCACTTCCTGTGCTTCTTATAATAATGATCAAACATTATATCATAAAAACTTCATAGCAATATTCTGCTGTATGTTAAGCTATAGAATTAATGATCCATTCTAAGTTTATAAACAAAAATAAATGTTGATCCCAATAAAGTTACTTTTATGATGCCCAAGCAAAATCCCTTTCCGTTTATCTACAACAAAACATTTAAGAGATCTAAATATATCATGAAATGGTATTCATGAAATTGTCATAGTTAAATAGTTTTAAACATTTTGGCAATCATTTATACTTTACTATAACAATATCACCATTGCTTACTTCCCTTTATATGTTGTTTATTGTTATTTACTAGTAAGCTGTCATCTAAATGACAAGGTGGTTGCTACTTTCAGAGAAGAAAAAACTTTATTTGAATGACTAAGCAATAAAATATAAATAGACCATCAATCACTCATTCATTTTCCAAAATTTATTTTTTAAAGCTGAACATAAGAAATTAATCATCACAATTAGGCAACAACCAGTAAGTCAGTTAGTATATGGTAGATAGAAATGATAAAACTACATTTATTTAATGTCAGTATATTTGCTCTTTTTCACACACAGACACACATACAATGAAATTAATATGTAATTAATTTTCATGATTTAAAGACACACACACAAACTGTTTAATAAATTCAATTATTTTGTTTGAAATTCATGCAAATTTGAAGTATATAATATAACAGGAAGATTCGGACTAGGAACCTGCAACAAACATGAAGAAAAATGAATCCAATGGCACACAGCCAATGACCAGGTAATAGCCAACACATGGTTCCAAGAACATCTGAGACGACTATGGACATGGAGGACTCCAGGAGGAGAAACTAAAAACCAAATTGATTATATAACCATCAACAAAAGATTCAAGGATGCAATGATTCACTGCAAAACCTACCAAAGTGCCAACTGCAGAAGTGATCATTATCATATGTAAACTAAGAGTGAAACTGCAGAAACTGAAGAAGCCTAATGCAGCACCCAAACTGCAGTACAACTCCTGAGCAACTCTAACCTAACAGAAAAATATATGGACAATGTGAAAAGATACAAGGCACACAATGGAAACTTGAGTGGGACACACTAAGAAACACTGTACTGACATCGGCAAATGATATCATCCCAAAGGAGAGAGGACGAAGAAGAAAAAAATAGACTGATGACATGATGGAAAGCAGATAGAAAACTGCCAAGATACGGAACAGAGTACAGAAAATTACACAATGAAATAAGCACCAAATGCAGGCAAGCTAAAGAATGGCTAAACAAAAAATGTGCAGAAATAGAAAGATTGAGTACTACCAACAAAAGAGATATGCACAAACATATAAGGTAACTAACAGGACAGAAGAACATGCTTGTCAACAGGCTGCCTAAAATCAAAGGATGGAATGCTTGTATTAGAGAAGGAAAAAATTCTTCAACACTGGAGCAGTTATATTGAAGAACTCTTCCACGATGAAAGGGAACAACCAGCAATACACAGAACTATCGACAGACCTGGAAATCTGAAAACCAAAGTAAAAACTAGAGTTAAAATTGAACAGAAACAAGGCAGCTGTGCCAGACAGAATTGTAATGGAAATTCTGACAGCCTTCAATGACTTTGGCATAGACAATATCACCGAAATAACAAACGAAATCTACAACAGTGGGGATATACTGGAAGACCTCAGCAGATCTATCTTCATAGCTATGCCTAAGAAACCAGGCACAAACAAATGCGAATTCCACCAAACAATAAGCCTAATGAGTCATGTGACAAAACTGATCATCTGTATTCTGATGAATAGAGCACACAGCAGAATCAGGCCAGAGATAAGATAAGAACAGTGCAGATTTGTTAAAAACACCGGAACAAGGTATGTGATATTCATGCCCAGAATATTATCAGAAAGAGCGATACTAATGCAGAAGGACATGTGCCTATGTTTCATAGACTATGCAAAGGCCTTTGAAAAAGTATGCCACAAGGATATGCTGGAACTGCTCAGCAACTTTGATATATTTAGGAAAGATATCAGAATAATCAAGAACCTATACTGGCAGCAAACAGCATGCATGCACACAGGGAACAAGTTCAGCAAATATACAAAAAAAGAAAGGGGTGTAAGGTAAGTATGCATCTTCTCTCTCACCTGTCCTGTTCAACCTATACAGTGAAGCAATTTTGAAAGAATTGGAAACCCTACTACCAGGATTTAGCATTGGCAGCCACTATCTTAACAACATAAGATAGGCAGATGACACAATACTGGTAGCAGACAGAAAAAAATGACAAAATCTCCTACAAAAGGTAGTGACAGAGAGTGAGAAGAAGGGACTAAACATAAACTACAAGAAGACAGAATGTATGGTCATCAGTAAAAGGATGAGCCTGAAATGTGATTTGCAGATCAGAAACACTAGAATCAAGCAGACATGGAAGTTTAAATATCTGGGAAGCATTTTAACAGAGAATGGTAAGTGCAACACTGAGATCCTTAGATGTATTGGGATGGCCAAGGACGCATTCCAAAAACTGGGCAGAGTATTACAAGACAGGAGGATTTCTTTGGTAACAAAGAAAAGAATATCAAGCTGTTACATGACATCTGTCCTTCTTTACAGCAGTGAATGTTGAACAATTTCCTTAAAGATGAAGAAGAGATACAAGGTGACTGAGATGTGGTTCTACAGAAGGATGCTAAGAATATCATGGACTGAGCATGTGAGCAATGATGAGGTCTTAGAGAGGATGCAAACAAGAAGGAGGCTTATACTTAACATCAGGAAGAGGCAGCTGAAGTTTCTGGGACATATAATGAGGAAGGAGGGCCTGGAAAATCTGATATTCATGGGTCAAATAGTGGGAAAGAGAGACAAGGGAAAACAACATATGACATACCTAGTGGGATTAAGCTATTGGTTGACAGAACATGGTCTGGGAGAGGTAGCAGAGGTAAGGAACTTGTTGAGAGTTGCAAGGGACAGAGGGAGGTGGGGAACCATGATCACCTATGTCCTGAAATGACATGGCACATAAAAAGAAAAAAGCATAAAAAATTTTCCTTTTACTCTATTGTTTTTATAAGGAAGGTTGCACTTTTATTTTTTCAAAGACCTAAAAAAATATTGGGTCTGAACAACAGTTTGTAGCATTTTCAAGTGAATTTCAAAAACAATATTTATATATATATAGATTTATTCAATCACATATATGCCATTTTGCTTCACTACATTTTTCCATCTTTGTGACAGCTTCACGATTCCATCCTTCCAGAACTTGGAATCTTTCTAGGTGATCAATTGGTCTAAATATTTGTTCGTTTTTTTTTTTTTGTTTTTTTTACATGCTTCATCGCACTTATATTATAAGTAATGCTTTGGCAACTTTCCACAACGCCTGTATTACTTAGTCTGAAGACTGACTCCAAAGGGCTTTTTTTTTTCTTTTCTTTGACCTGGAACTTCTGGCTATGGCACTATTTCTATAAATAGCACATATCTTTTTTGCTGTTTATTGGGTTTTTCCTTTCCAGAAATAAAAGGCCTCAAATAACAAAAATGCATCACACTTTCCTCTATTTTCTCTTAACATAAAAACATTTCAAATTCACATTCCATGCACTAATCACATAGAAAGAAGTCACCTTTCCTAATATGTATATGTGCTGTTAAATTTCAGTCATGTGTGAAATTAAGTCACATGTTCAAATTTCACCTACTGAAAAACACCAAACTTTTGTTTCAATCTAATATGTTCTTTCTCCTTGCAAATCCATCAATTGGGAAAAAGTAATGGTCCATAATTTGACACCCACACACAAAAAGAAAAAAAAAAAAAGAAAATGTTACTTTGACAAATGGACAAAAAAACAAATATGAGATAGATTGATAGTATCATCAGATATAAGATACATATTAAGCAAGCTTGTCTCAGAAGTCATTACAATCCTCAATGTCTCAGAAGTCATTACAATCCTCAATGTCCCACATTTATTGATTTGTTCTATACTAAGCTTAGTAAATACTTACACGATGTATAATACATGAGCTACAAGATAACACATACAGAAGATTATCCAATGTGAAATTTTAAGAAGAAAAGACATCAAATTAAAAAGTAACTTACACAGATAAATGCAAAAGCTCCTCATCTTCTGGTTCTACAACTGTTGGCACTTCATTTTCATCATCATCTTTATTTCCACAACATTCCTCAGGAAGTAGCAGAGCTTTTTCAGCATCTTTTCCTGTCCTTCCTGCAGCTATGAGAATTACTCCCCGAATCACAGTGTGGAATGCCTATAAAATGACAGATTAGAAATCAAAAGTTGAAAATAAAGGATTTTTTCTAATTGTAATTATTAATTTGTGAATATTTACTTCACTTTCTGTTGCTTACCACAATTCTTAGATCATCACTCAAATATGCCATAGAGTTTATATATATATATATATATATATATTAACCATCTGGGCTTAAAAACCTTGTTAACTTTCTGCAATTGATTTCAAATACATCTGCAATTTTCTTGAAATTTCTTTTATAAAATTACAAAAGGTTATGTCCTTTTTACTTTTATTGTTAAATGATTAAAATCACATAGTAATGAAGAAAACTATTTATCAAAATATAAATTAAATTACATTTTTGCTGTATATATGTAAATAATGAAAATAGTGGAGAAAATTTGTTGTTTCTAAATCTTTTCTAGCAATAAAAGGTGAACCTAAATTACAAATCCGACAATGAAAATAAACATAATAAATTAATATAAGATATTTTAATTCATTAATTCTAAATAACAAAGTTAGAAACAATATTTTTTAAATACAAACTACATATACAAAAATAGATTTTCTTACAAATCAAATTGTACAAGAAATATCCAACAACATGATTAAAAAATATTAAATTGATCAAAATAGATTTACAGCCACAAGCAAAAATATAAACTTCATTAATTACCAACACAAAGCTATGGTGGACTTCACTATTTTATGGTATTTATTAATATAAAATATAATTTAAAAAATTATACTATGTAATTCTATGTTATAACTATTTTTGTTAGATTTTAATATAAATATTTTTTAAAAATAATTGCAGTCTTTAGCACCCTAAACTTATTGCAAAACATGTGAAATAAGCACCTTCTGAATTAGTATATTCACTGTAGCTATCTAATGCAAATGTTTATGTAACATATTTTTTGTCTATAATGTTGTCATACCACTTACCTAGCCATGTCAGATTCATTGTAAAAGTAGAATACAACAATAAGAAAAATAGTTTTCAAAATTGACATGCAAAATCTTAATTGTAAAGACTCAACAAAATATGCACTAATTTCTATAGTCATTTTTGAAAGTAGGTTTAAATTAGTCATCAAAATAAAAAAAAATGTTAGCTAACATTTAACTAGTAACAAAGAAATTGTATTTACAAATCAAGAAAATTAACTTTCTCTTAAACTCATCAAAATATCCATTTATTTGTATTTCTAATCAATCCTCTATATTTATACAGCACCTGTCCCTTTAGTTATTGGTGTTTGTGTGGAGACAGTGGATAAAATTAAGTTTCTGGGTATATGTATTGCAGAGGATCTCTCCTGGGCTAGCAATATCATCACAATAGTCAAGAAGGTAGTGACTATTTACCAAGACCTCTCAGAAAAAAATAATTTACAAAGGAAGCTGCAGATGATCTTTTACCACAGACTCTATTGAGTGTGCTGGCATTGTATGCTCAGCAGCAGACAGGAAAAGGGTACCTAGAGCATTATAGATGCTGTCCAGAAAATAATCATAGCAGAGCAGAAAACAATGAAAAACATCACCACATGTTTCATCTGTTACCATCAGAGTGACATTTTAGATCTGTTAATTCTAGGACAAAGCATTTGACAGGTTTTATCCTTGAGTCCAGTGTAAAATGAACACTGCTACACACTGATAATTTTAAACATCATTACTTTTTTTTTCATTCAGTGATGTTGGTGCACCTGGGGACTAGTGTTCAAATGTACATGGCACAAGAGGAAAAAAAATGAAAATATAGATATGGTAGCTGTGCAATAAATGTGTAAAAAGTATTGAGTCATGATGGATAAGCTAATCTCATAATCTAATTTTTGACCGTCAAGCCAAATTACTAATCCAGTTTGGCTATGGAAACAGGAGTTGAACATGTAATACCAAATAAATATAAAAACTTCAAGTGTATTATTCCCAATAGATCTTATCTATACTTACCATTACACGGTTAATAATAATGAGGATGTTGTGGAATACATTTTTCAGCATTTGCATCCACTGTGTATAGTTTAATAGCCGCATTTGGTCAGCCAAACTGAAAAGTTTCATTTAGATTTTATAGTAAATGAAATAAATAAATAGAATAAAAAATAATTTACATTGTTATTAGTAGTCTTTGAATGTTTCTATCATTTAAAATCAAGACAAATTTAATATCTAGTAATGATGCAAGTTAACATTTTTAATTTAATATTACCTAAAAAAAAAAAATTCCAAAAATTTTCAAAAATATTTTTTCACATTTCTGGAAATAATGTATTAATGGATTGTGTAAGTATTAAAAATAAATTCACCTTACTAAAACTTGAAAATAACTTCTGTGGGCTATGAACAATACCATACTATAAGAACTTTTCCTGCTTGAAGTTTAAGTGCAGACATGACACTATTAACAGGAGACTAGCAATTATCCACTTTATTTTGATTAGTAAGAAAAAACATATACACAAGTAATAGCATCCATAATACAAAATGTCTAGAAGACAAAGAGAAGTAAAAAAAAAAAAAACTTTCAATGAAAAAATGCAAAATTAAATTAAAACTTAATTTAGCCAATTCAAAATTTTTAAAATTAAAAATAATTTTCTAAACAATAACTTTAAAATAATGACAAAAATGTTACTATTTTTGTTTTAAATACAATAGGATCATTTCATATTCACAAGGATAAGTGAACATCTGTTAAAACATAAAATTCAAATATCTGCACTCCAACTCATTACCAAAGGTGTTTTCTATTTTTGAGAAAAGTCATTATCAATCCAATAATTCAGTTTTTCCTACACTGTTTCAGCTGATCCATTCCACAGATTTCTTCAAGAGTACTAGCCAAAATGAAGGAAGACTGTCTTTCTTTTGTATTGCAAATATCAGTGTAGCTTTTGTCCCTCAACAGGGATATCCCTGTATTAAATTCTTTGTTTAACAAAGAAAAGAATTGAGAATATTGCCCTATGATTAAAAAATTATGAAACAATGTTGCAGAAAATAACATTTACAAGCTTTATTGCTAATGTTTAAATTTTGTTTGTTTTTTTGCTTTGCACAATGGACTATGTGGTGGGTATCATTTTTAATGCTGGTAGGAGACATAAAAAATTCATAGAATGGATCAGATGAAACATTATGGGAACAAAAATCACAAAAAAAAAAAAAAATTGTTCAATTGCTTAAAAATCTCTTTGAATGATAATGACTTCTGAAAATTATATAATGTTTGAACATAAAATTTAAAATGCCATGGTTATTACTTTTATTTTATGCATGCACTAGTATTATAGTCAATAGAGTATTAAGTTATTTTATAAGTACAAGAGTCCTTGCTATTTATGTAAAATTGGCACAGTTTCCATACAAATTAATTTCTTTTTTGGCAGTTTTGAATTTTTGCTTGCCCCTAGATACTATTTCTTTAGGACCCATGGTTACTGACATGAATAGAGCAATAACATCAAAATATATACAGTATTTTAAGAAATAGTAGTGTGATCAGACAGAGAAAACACTTTTAAAAAAGATAAGTTTCTTTAAGTTGATTACAATTTACTTAACAGAAATATTTGTAACCGAGTATGTTTGTGTATACCTCTATACACACACACACACACCACATGAACGCACACATGCAAATATAACTTATTGACTGGAAATGGAAATGGTGTTTATATATCAAAGTACAATTTGGGTTAAGATGTGTGTTTACCGATGAGAAACACGATCTCAGGGCAGGAGGTAATGTTTTAAACCTGGGTCACTAGTAAACAATGGGGATGGGCGAGATATTTGGTTTTCTTTAACAGTATTTGTTTTGATTAAAAGGTTGAATCAATGTTTAGATATCCCAAAGTATAAATTTGGTGAAGCGAGAAGAACTTGTGACTGAGATAAGGTAAATAATTGGAGAATCGGTTTACATGTCAAGGGATAGTTTTTGGCACTCATGGTAGCTGCATGCCGAGCCAAGAGTCAATTGTGATCAGCTGATCCTTTTTCTATATTAACTCGAGATTTTGCTAATAAAGCAGAGTCGGGGAAACAGACTGTAGTCGAGAGAGTCACAAGACTATCATCACAGTGAGTCGAGAGATTTGCGGGAGAATTTTGGAAGAGAGAAAGAAGACTCCCCCCCCCCTGTTCTGAGAAGTCTGTATGAGACTGGACTATTAGTCATAAACCTCCCCCAGGCGATTCAATATGCGTTTATCACACACAAACCCTCTCTCTGTTGGGAATTCGCTGGATGCATTTTGTCTTTTTCTTTTCTCATTTATGTTAAATGTTTTTATTCTCCCTGTAACCTCTGTTCTGTTGTTATCTTCTTATATAAAAGACGTCAATATTTCCCCCATTGTTGTCTGCCTTCTGCAGATATTATTTCTTGTTTTATTTTGCCACATTCTAAACTTCCTACCGCCAACTCTCACAGCCGTGTCCACATCCCCAGTCGACCGTGAACGTATGGACAACACCCCGCTTACTGGATCTAAAAACTAACACAGCGTGGGCAGCGAGCAGGACTTGACCAGTTGACTGATTGAAATAATCTACGGGTACTCAGGGAGCGTACAACCAGTTACCCCAGAAAACACACTAACTGATAGTCATTACAAACTGCTTTAATTGGGTAAAATTTACTGTTATTGATATAATAATGTGACATAAATCATGTCTGTTGCCTGTTAGAAATTCTTGTTTACCTTCCAACATTTCCCTCTGTATCTATGTCATCAGCTGTAGCTACGGCTTCTATCACAGACTGAAAGGAAAATTTTAAAATATAATCAAAATAAATTTGCTAAAGTACAAAATCAACAGAATTTATTTTGCATGAAAATATAAGTGACTTGTGAAAAATAAAGTTTTTATTGATTAAATAAGTTATTTCAGTCCCTATGGTACATACATCACTTATGCAGAATTGAATAAAATTTCTTTCAGTCATATTAAAAAATGCATTGGTCAAAACGAAAGTATCTGCTTTTGTTGTCTTGTTGGCAATATCACTTGATTGAATGTATCAGAATTATTTTTATTAAATTTGTGAAAAAATGGTTTGCTATGTTTTGTGCTGGAGATTTCTTACTAAACAATACTCCAGGGTCAGGTAGATTAGCCGAGGGTGAAGATAATCTTATAAAGAGATACTAATGAATATAAACTATATGAAACAGAAGAAAGCCAACATATCTCAAATCATTTGCATCAGCTTAATTATTAGTAAATATTTTTTATGTAAATGGCTTCTACATAAAGTTAAAAAATACTACTTGATCATTCTGTGTGCAGTTCACTACTTGAAGATAATGAAAATGTTACATTTTTTAAACAAAATGCAATAAGCAATGAAAAGTGAATGTTTTACAATGGAAGAAACTGGAAGACAAGCAAAAGCATCCCTAACCATATCAGTTTTCATCCAAAGAAGGTAGTGTTGTTTATATGTTAAAAATAGAAGGAAATTATCTCTGAACTCCTTCTAGATAAAAACAAAATGGTTGATTTGAGCATTTTGAAGGCAGTCATTAATGAACAGCAATCTAAACTATGAGGATAATACTAAACTACAAGTTTCTTTGGTGGCCAAACAAAAATTGTTACAGCTTAGCCAAGATGTTTTCAGAATGTAAAAATCCTTAGTCCAACAATGAATACAAAAGAAGAGAAAGAAAAAAAGAGTAAAAGAGTAAAAGAAATGTTGCGAAAGGAAAAATGGAGGATATTAATGGGCTATAGGTAGAAACTTATAATTAATGCCAGATTTTTATAATACTAGATTTTATGATGGACATTAATGGATTAATAGTCTCAAAATATTTTGTGTAGAAGTCTTCATAAGGGCTACTATGAAAAAATAAAAATGATAAAAAACTATACCTCATCATGAATATTCAAGAGTTAACATAACAGACTAACATATACAAAAATAGATATCTCCACTAATTCAGTATACATAAGGTTTAAAATTAATTTTTAAAAATGAAAAAGCTTTCTTGAAACTTTCATTTTAGCTTTAATTGAAGGCTAAAGGATTTAAAATTTACTATTTCCTGTAAGCAAAATTCTCTATGGTGTATTTCAAACAGAAATTATATTGACTGGAATAGATTTTTTTTCAGTAAAATTGATCGTCCATTTTGACACATTTTTAAACAAATTAATTCTCAGTTTTAAAAATCTTGCAAAAATAAAATATATATTTCTGAAATGTTATTTGAGGAAAATTAGCAAATTTAAAGTTAAATTAATCTAATTAGAAAGAAATATTATTTATTTATAGCATAAAATGTTGTATACAAGCATTTCTTAAGCACAGAATCTTGTTTTTCTGACATATTAATTGATTTATTGACAGCCGATTGAACACCAAATGTGTTCATAGTTAAGTATGGTGGAGCAAAAGATAAAATTCATAAGAGGGTCCACCACCTCCATAAGGAGGGACAACGCTTAAAACACATGACCTTTTAATAACATTATAGGTTTGGACATCCATACTTTGTTATTCTGTATGTAATGACACATACAAAAACAAATTGAAATTCTTTTAAAAATATTCAGGGTCGTCAGATTTTAATAAGCTTTATGATATATGATTAGTAAATATAGTTTTACTTAATAGTTTCTAGAAGTTATCTCGTTGAAAATGAATTTTAAGTTTTAAAAACTTTATAAATTATTCAATTTAAAATTGTAAAAAAAGAAAACAAATCTTGTAAAAATACATTTTTCATCAAAAAGATTTTTTTCTTCAGACAATATTGTCTTTAATATATATCATTCAGAAAAGCAATTAAAAACTTCCCTAATTATATAATGTCTTAGTTTTATTGCATTTTTTTATTTTTCAACTCAGAACAGATTTTCATAATGACAGAGTCCAATTATATAAAAAAAATAAATAAATAAAAATCAGTGATTTAAATTCTTCAAAGAATTGAGTAGACACATTTCTAGGAAATTAAGAGGTAAAGTAGAATACACAAATCTGTGAAAGTTACTGAAACCCCCCCCAAAAAAACCCCAAAAAACCTTTTCACATTGTCACATGGGTAAGTAGCAGTTGAAAGGGGATACTCCATAAACAAGGACATTTTGAAAGGAAACCGGAAAGAGAAGACACTGATTTTTCTAAGGTTTATACCAGATTCGTTGTTGGATGGACCATTAAAATTAATACACAAATCCCTAATACAGTATTGCAAATCTTCAAGAATGATGTATACTAGTTGGAGGAGGAAAAGAAAAAGGAAAAAGAATCTACAAATAACATTAAAAGGAAAGACCTCAGCTCTGAAAGTGTCCATAAAGAGATAAAAAAATAAAATAATGGTCAGCATCAAAGTATTGCAGCAAGAAGCAGATACAATGGCAAAAAAGGCTGAAAAAAAAAAAAATTTTTTAAATAAAAATAAAAAATTTTTTAAAAAAATCAGGACTTTACACTTCTTGCAAAATTCAATGCCTACTGCAAAATTAATGCAGAAAGTGACCATTCTAGATACCACTTTGTTTGAATTAAAATATTACAAAGCTATAAGTAGACTAACCTCAGCATTCTTGCTAGAACTTTATATGTAGCACTTTATTTTCAGTAAATCCAAGTCAAATTTTTACTTTGTGTTCTGTTTCTTATTTTTTTTTTTTTTTTTAATCTCTGGTTACTTATTTGACAAAAGAAAAATTTAACTTGAAATCTTGATTACAGTTCATTTATGCCAATTCAGCTATAAAGGTGCTTGTAGCAAAACCCATTATTATTCAATCCATTAAATCAGGTGTCATCAACTGAACCCAAGATATTTCATCAGGTACTATTTTTCAACCTAAAAGCATAAATCATTTATTTAAGTAAAAAAAAAAAAAGTTGTTTTAACAATGTTAAAGTTATTCCTCTAAAAGGGAATGTCTACCAGCTTCTGTCTGTTTCAATTTTTGTCCTACAACCATTTATTTTTTATGAGGTATCAGAAAAAATGTTATCCATTAAAAATGAAATTAGAAATTTGCTGTCAAGAAGAAAAGAACATTGGCAAACATTGTTGATAATTAAACAATTTAAATATAAAAATATAATTTTTTAATTGTGTTATTAAATTATTATTTTGATGAGCTTTTGTCCATTTTCACCTTTTCTGGTTCAACCACCCTCTGCCTGTTTTAAGAAATATTTTTAGCTAAAATATCTTCAGTAAATAATCCCTACATTAGAGTTCAATAAAGTAATTTTGACAAATGGCAAATCTTCTTTTAAACATGTAAAAATTGTTTCTACTTATTGTACACTAACACTAGAAGCACTAATTTAAAATTAAACAAATATTAGATATATAAGTTAAAAACAAAAGTAAATATTATTTTGAATCAAACCTTTTTTCTGGTACTTATCTTGTAATAGCTAAATTTTGAATGAAAATATTCGATTAAGTTTCATACTTACATTTACAATTAATTCACCTAATAATATTTAATTCTTCAAGTGAGTCGTTTTCTAAACTAACAAAAAAATAAATGAAAAATAATTTGTATTCATAATTCTTCTGACACAGTTTTGTTTACTATAAAAAATTGAAACTGAAACCGAAATCCAAGGGAAATAATCTTTTATATTCTTATATTCACCCTGAAATTTGAAACGCATTATTTAAAAAATATCCAGTTTTGAATGTAAAATATCAAACCCAAGTTATGTTTAAAATAATCCAGAGTATATTTGCTAACAATAACATTAATTTAATATTTGAGAGAGAGATTCTCAGATAATTTAAATTTTCTAGGACAAAATACAAACATTTTCTAGGTTTTTTTTTTTAAAAAAAAAAAAAAAAAACTTCCATTTTCCAGGGTTTTGCAGCCCTGGATAATTTACATTTTATTTTCCAAGACGCACGGAACCCTTATATATATATATATATATATATATATATATATATATATATATATATATATATATATATACACACACACACACACACACTACAGTTCAAATGTTTGAGACCACCTCTAGTAATTTTTTAAAGTAGTTGTTTTGTACTTTTAAAAAAAGAGAAAAATATTATACATGATTAAAAAAAAAACGTGAGACATTATTTTTTTTTTTTTTTTTTTTTTTTAAATTAGAAATTTTATGACAAAAAGTAGAAAATGATTAAATTATAGTCTCGGCAAAATATCCTCTTTCAGCCTCTTTTTAATTGCTGGCATTCGTTGCAAAATTATAAGACTGATAATTGATTTCATTTTTTTTTTTTTTTTTTTTTTTAATAACTTTAAGAGACCTTTTTTATTTTTTTTTCAATCTTCTGTCAATTTCCTCCCATGCTAATTCTGGGGGTGGCTTCAAACTTTTGAACTGTAGTGTATATAGATATATATAAATACCGAAAGGTTACAAAAGAGAAAGAAAGTTACCAAGTTGCTGCCATCTTCCCTAGACCCTGCCTCCATGCATCCAAAATTAGTGCAAGAATATCTTCAGGTGCGTCATCCACAAAATGAAAAAAATAGTACCATACCTGCATAATTACCTGTTTTATTGTAGCTTTCAATGCTGTAAAAGCTTCTTCTCTTAGGACATTAACAAATTCAAAATTATGTTGTCGCAACATTCCCAGAACAATTGCAATTAGTTTCTCCTTAAAAATAAATTTTAAAAAATAATTAACAATTTAAATAACATTTCAAATAAAAAAATAAACAAAAAGTGTTAGAATATATTTTAAATTTACTAAATAAAATATCTGTTAATGTAATCATCTATCAACATTATAATTAGAAAATATCAAAGTAAAAGCTATTAATATAGAAGTCTATGTGTTAAGTATTTTAGTGTAGCATGAATGCTTTCAAAATTTACCCATACACATTTTTAGTTTCTGTTTGACAACAGAAGTTTTGTTCACAATGTATTTTGCCATCTTCTATATCTTCAGAACCAATTGTATGATCTACTCTGACAACCAATTAGAAGAAATTCTTTCATGAATCAACAGCAAGTCACTAGTGAGTGAGTTTTTATACTGTATGACCATTGCATTCACAGTGCCACAGAAACTATTTGAATGATCAAGGCAGTTTTTAGTAATGAGGCAATAAGCAAACCCAGGTAAGTGTTTCACACCAATATTTCAAAATTAGTTGGGAATCTGATGTTTTAGAAGATCTTCACAGTGCAATAATTAGAAGATCCAAAGATAGAAAATATCTAGCCATTTTAATATATTCTCAGTGTGTGTCAACACCGCACAAAATCCAGATTTGGCATCCTGCAAATTTTAGCTTTTCCTAAAACTAAAGTTGAAAAGGAGATTTCAGAACATAAGATTAAATTGAATGCAAATTAGGCAGTCAATGAAAATTTCTAAAGAGAACTTTGCAGAATGTTTAGAAAACTAAAAGGGAAGTTGGAATAGATATGTGTAGAAATACCTTGAAATATGCTACTTTCTCATTAATATTAAATGATTGACTTATCAAGTTACTTGAAATTTGTACTATTTTAATTATTAATTCCTGACTATTTTTCTTAATTTTATTGTTTTAAATCCAATATTCTTTGGGCATCAAAATGTCTTTGTTTATTTGCTGTTGTTACTACTATTCTTTAGCCCTCATCAGATTAAATTCAATATAACTATCATGGTCTGTTTCTAGGATAAGGAAAAGAAAGAGAACATCCAGTATGACTATGTTGCTACAGCAAACATTCCTTATGTAGAAGGGACAGCAGGACAGACCTGTCTACATTATAAGATCAATGTTATCTAATAATAAATCCTCCATTTCTGTCTTATTATAGTTGGCTCCTAACAAGAAAAAAGTCTAACAAAAATGCCTTTATAATATACTTGTATATGTAACAAAGTATATAAGACATCTCAGCAGTCCTTTTAAAATCAGAATTGAGAAACACAAGATTGCTATAATTAAAAGTAAGGTGGAAAAAATTAATATGGTTGACTATAGTGGAAGAAGGATACACATTACCCTCTCTGGGATAAAATCAAGACAACTGAGAGAAAGCATCATTGGGGCATGAAGGATCAAACAATCATGTGCAGGAGTCAGACTAATATGGATTCCAAAACTATATGCTTTTCTTTGTTTAACAAAGTGTTGAGTATTGTGGAGCCCACCTCAGTGTTGTTTGGAATCAGCTAGGCACTTTGTGTACCTGTTGCTGTGAACAAAAACCAGTTCAATGGGTACATTAATAGGAAATTTTTGTTGCCTGTTTGTACAGTTAAGAGATTTCTTTTTATTTTCACAGATTATATATGATGGAGGCTGAAGAATGAATATGCTGAAATGTTGTGTTAATAAGAGCAAATATACAAAGACATGATTTAAATGTCCAAACAGTGTTGGATATGTTAAAGACTTTTCAAAGTTATCAACAATAAATTATAATTGCTTTATAACAATGTTGAACAGTTAAGACAAAACAGTATGAAATCAAAATAAAGTAATTAAGCAGGTCTCATATTCATAGTAATATAGTTTATTTTATTGTTTATGAAGCTGGATCAATATATCCATAGCTTGGCATGTAGCTATTAGCTGAATTTTGATCTGAAATGTTCATTGTGTAATGTTCAATTTATATAATTAAGAGTACTCAAAGAATGAGATTATGCTGGAAAAATAGCATACATACATATGCACATATGTACATGACATTGATCAACCTTGTGTGTGTGTGTGTGTGTGTGTGTGTGTACACGTACACAAAAGGTGAATCAATAGGTCTATAGTCTGTCACAATTATTCACCACCGAATAAAAACATTCAATGCCAATGTTTTGGGGCTGAGGTGTAGGTTTTTTTTGCACTTGACAGGTAACATATCAAAAAGTCAATAAACAACCTTTGATATATAACATGTGGATTGACCCAAAAGATTATATGGAAAAATATTTGTTATTTAAAATAAATGCTTTCCCATGCTACACTCATTCGACTATGGATTTATTGTTCTACTTATGCACTTTAATGGTTGAAGACTGTATCAACCTTGAACATAGTGAAAAAGCAGAAATAAGATAATTAGTGAAAAATGTGTAAACCTCTACACTAAAATATTGCTCCTATAGTCTAGTAAAGAATTTTGATTTGAAATTTTTAAAAGCTAGATGTCATTTAAAAATAAATAACAAATTCTTTTTTTTTGGGAAGGAGGAGGATGAGTATGACATCTAAAAAACAGATTCAAACTCAATCCATTAACTGAATTTCAATCATTGCAATTCTCATATGCAAATCTCTACCAGTAGCACACACAGAACAAATAATGCAAATTTCCAAATAATTTTGGAAATTCAGTTCTATCTGTAAGTCAAGGTATCAGAAAGCATATCAACAAGATCAAACTATACAAAACTAGATTTCTAGAGTGTGATTTCTAGAGGAGTGTATGCTGGATGCCTAGCAGTTGACAAAATTAATTGTGCTTGTTTAGATAAGGCCTTAGTAAAGAAGTGGAGTTGTTATATTTTGAGCAGGAATCATTGATAATGATTTGGTTGGGCCTTGGAAGGTTGGTAATGGCATTATAATGACCACTTCTGTCTATATTGAATTCACACTTTCAAGCATACCTTACTTAGAAAACAGTAGTATTGTAATTATTTTCTTGCATGACAATGCTCCAGTTCACACTGTTATTGCAACTAATGAATTCTTAGATAAATGGTGTGGCTGCCATGTTCCCTTGATCTAATCTCCATTGAGAATCTTTGGAGCATTATCAATAGGTATATATTCATGAATGCAGCAAGCAATTTGCAGAGATGCTGATAGATGCACATTCTGTGTACCTGATGCATAAAAATGCAGTAATATTCCCATCTGTTCATCCCAGGGACACAACTAAAGTTTCCCATGAAAAGCAAGACAATGTGCAAAACAAACTCATTATGATATAGTAAAAGGAATTTGTACTTGGTCAATATGAAGTTGATGGCAACAACAATTTCATTTAAAATGAAAGTGATATATTCTTTCTGAAACTGAATATCAATCATTTGCCAAATGAACTAATTATTAATCATAATCAGTACATAGATATTTTTCTTTTAACATTGTGTATTCTTGTTAAAGTGCTTTTTAAAACTATAAGTCAAAATGTTTTAACTAAGTGAAAATATTTATATTTAACATTCATTTCACTGTTCAAATACCATTTAACAGGGCTCAAAAATGTCTTCAGAGAAAAAAAAAATTTCCTGTATCAGTTGGTACAGACCATAGGTAAGCTGATAATTTTTGTAATGTTAAATAATAAACACTGCATTAATCCTTTGATGCTATTCTTTCAAATAATTTTAACTAGTTCTTCTCTTTCTTTCTTTTATTAGGTGTTGGGATGAATCAGTGGCAGGAAAAAGACAGCAATGTCACTTTATCAGATACTTTCTTGGTTCATTTTTTTTATTTTTGTATTTAATTTTAACATTTTTTGTTCTGCCAAAAAAAAAAAAAAAAAAAAACAAAAAAGCTCATAATTGTCAAAAATATATTTTTTAATTGAACTGAGATTAAGTGTAAATACTGTTGTTTTAAATTTATTGAATGAAACAAAAAAATTTAAAAAAACTTTTGTTTTGTCATAATTCACAAAAAATATAGTTTGTTCTTAAACTGCTTTGATATTGAATTTTTGTATCGAATTAAAAAAAAACATTTTTATTCTGTCATAAAAAAGAACAAAAAAAATTACTTTTTCCTGTCAGAATTCTCAAAAAGTAAAGGTTTTTTTTAATTGAACTGTGATTAAGTATAAATACTGCTTTTGTATTGAATTTATTAATTTAAAAAAACAAAAAATTGTTCTGTCATTCGGCATGATTAAAAAAAAAAAAAAAAAAATAATGTAGTCGTGCAGTTTAATACAACAATTTATTAAGAAACTTTAGTTGGGAACCATTGAATTTCCCAGGAAGCCACCCAAATCACAAGCTGTGGGTTCTGGAACTCACGACATTAAAATCCTATCATTATCATCAAGGAATTGATATTAAAAAAAAAAAATGAACTTGGGAATCAATATTAACTGTTTGTAAAGCTATTATTCCTGAATGAATTTCTGTAGGCTGCTTCAAGTCATTAGAAAGAATGGAAATTATCAGTAATATATTATATCAGTAAATAATATTACTTTTCTACTTTGCTGTTGCTTACTATGAATTTTCAATTTATGTAAATAAATTATTCTTTGTTTAGTTTTGGACTTCATTTTTAATCTTTATATACTTTCACATGGATTTTTTGAGATTTCTATATAAAAAAACAGATCAGTCAAAAAAACAATTTTTACATATAGTCAAGCATAAACTCATACTGTGACCAAAATTTTCTGGATATTCTACATGCAGTATATTAGACCATAATTTAGTGACACTGATATCATTAGTTTCATAATTATTGTTATTTTCCCTAATTACATGAAATATTGACATGCATTATATTTAGTCAGAGATAATTTATTTTATTATACCTCAAAATGACAAAGCAGATTAATATTGATGAAGAACTTTGATAATAAAAAAGATGAAGACAATAGTCTGTATGTAAATAATGATAAATCTTCATCCCAGAAATTCAGACAGAAACATTGATGGCTTTCAAAAAAGCATTTGCAGTCAAGCTTAGATTTAAGAATTTATTTATACAGTCAACATCAATGACATGTAGATAACAAGTACTTTACCTAGTGGTTATTCATCATCAGAAGTAATAGAATTGTTCTTTTATTTGATCAAAATAAGAAAGCCAATCCCAATGTTTTACTTTTTTAAATTAATCAAAAATGCAAAAGTATTTTTAAAAATCAACTTCCACACATGAATGAATTTTTCTAATATTTTGATACTTTTTTTTTTTTTACATTCCTCAAAATCCTTTTCTTTATGAAGGTACATTCTTTTATACAAAATATTTTTTCCTTATTAAAAATATGAAATATTTTAATAATTGCTCTAAAAATTAAAATTACCATATTTAGAAAGCAGTTAATGCTTAATACCTCAGATTTATTTTTTAACATTATATTATAGTTATGTTTCTTCCAAAGATTTTAATGATTTACATACCATTAAAGTACAAATTATTTACTATAAATTGATAAATTTATCAAATGAAAGTAACAATTTAATTTTTTCAGTTATTGTTCTTTACAGAGAAAATGTTTTAATTCAGAAATTTGTTAACTACAAAGAGATAATTCCCTATACTTAAAACATGTATGTATGTATAATTTAATCTGAATGGTTGTAAATGGTTTTGATTAATATTTTAAATAATTGTGTAAAAAAATTTTTTTAAATCATAGATATGGAAACAAACTTATATTTCTCAATTTTGAAAAAAAAGTTTCAAACAAATGTGAAAATCAAACCATGTTTCATTTTAGTTGCTATTTCCCCTAATAAAAAAAAAGTATAAAATTAAAAATATTTTACTGACTGTAAATCAATAAATAAATCCATTTATATTTATTTCCCTGACAATTCTCTCTTTATCAAGCAAAAACCCTCATGATCAGTTTGACGTTAATGATAAACTTTTTTGTTCCAAAAATTAAATATACTAAATATTTTATACCACATGTCAAGGGCGATAACTATCAAATGGCATAACTAATGCTTTCCATTTAGCAAAAAGTCTATAAGATTGTATTTTTTTGTATGACATTTACATTACAGACCAATAAAATTTCAAATTTTCTTCACTATTTAATAAAAATTAATCACTATAAAATAACTTATATACTTGGCATATTTTTAAAATGTAAAACAGTTTAAGATAAAATATTAAAGTCACATCAACCTACGCAATCAATAAAGTTCAAATTAATGTTTATATCTACCAATGTTGAAATACTAAACATACATTTCTTCAATAGATACCTAATGGTTTTCATACATATTTCAGTCTTCATCTTTTTAGAGAAATTTTATGATTTAACATTTCAAATGGGTTATCTCATATTGAAATCTGAATTTGAGAAAAAAAAGTTGTTACAGCAAAATTTACATTATTGATTAATAATTTGGGAACCCATTTGTCTGAAACATCTGTTCCACTCTCCTTTTTATAATATACTTTTTGAAAAGCAAACTTAGTTATTTTAGTGAGTCTTACATTGTTTGCATTTATTATATGAAGTACTGTCAGATTTGTTGCTTTTTGTTTATCCCAATACTCAGGTCATTTTATATTTTCTTGTTAATAAATAATCAGTCTGAATTCGAAATAAAGAAGTAATCTCCAACAAAATTTCAATTTGTATCATCCTTGGAGTCAATATGACATGAATGATGCCTTCTTGGTTTGGTTATCATGATTAAACATTCAATAATATTCACAATTACAATCTTTATCATCCAATTTTTCTTTGTTTATACCTAAGTAATGTTAGCTATAATGAAGGATCCAAATTTAACAAAACATTTTCATTATTATTTTTGTTGCTCTTCACAATTCCCAGGTTATTTTACATTCTATGGTCATTGATTAAGCATCATGAATTGGAAATAAAGACAGAATCTTTGATGAGATTTGAACTTGTACCACTTATCTTTAGGAGCACATTTGACAGGAACAATATCTTACATGTGTCTATATATCCTAACTAGTTAGATAGTTATATAACACCCATTCTAATATTTTCTCCATATATTGTTTATATGTAGTCATAAGGGATATCATAGTTTCAAGTTTTTCTATATTTCTCAGATGAAGTACGATTACAAATTTTTTCTAATTTTTCTTTATTTTTTTATAATAAAACTTTCTTTCAAACTAGTAAAAAATTATTAATAAGTGTAGGAAATTTCGACTGCTATGCAAGATATTTTATCAGCTGTTTGTTTTTTGTTTTTTTTTGGTGGAGTGTATTTGAAAAATCTTTCAGTTCTTGTATGATCTAACACTTAAATTCGTTTCTGATTTTATGCTTTATTAGAGATTAATGGTTATACATTGATCTATCTATTTGGTGTTCTCATGTTCATTGTTATAGTTACAATACTTATCTTCTTTAAGATAATGACCTAGTGAATAAAAGCACTGGTTAAATGCATCTAACTAAATGGTAGTTAAGAGTTCAAGTCCTGAAAGTGAAAGTCTGGTTCAACAAAAAAGAAAAATTAGCATCACAAAAACAAATTTCCTAACTGATGTGATATCTCCTAGCATAAATAGCAGACTTTATTCAATTTATGAGGGTATTCTCATAAATTGAATAAAGTGTTTAATTTGAAATTTCCAGATAGTTACTCAATAAAACAAATAGCTGAAAAATATGGGAGGATATAATGTGATTATAACAATCAAGGTAAGAATACTATTGGGAATAACTCAATGTATAATAATAATTTCTCATTTCAAAAATTTAAACAGAAAATAATTGATGAATTTTATAAAGTTACATAGAGTAATTTCCAGTCTACTAAGTACTATTGACTGGTGTTAAAGCATATAATTTTTCTTAAAAGCAATGCTTTTGTAATGCAACAAAAACAAACCTGGAGAGGATACAAAAGAAAATGAAGTTTATAGTTTAGTTCTTTTCATATATATATATATATATATATATTAAATTATTATTTTTTTGTACTAGTGATCTGATATACTTTATATGAGACAAAAGAGAATGAAATTTTTTCCCACATTATTATTGCTGACAAAAGAAACTTTTGTAAGGGAAAAATAAGTTTATTTTAGTGGAGTGGGGGAGGCCAAATTTTCAAAAATTAATCTAATTATGAAAATAAGTTAAAAGAATTTAAATTTATCTTAGTTAAAGTCCATGCTGCTAAAAATTATTTTTTATTTTATTTTAAATATTTTATTTTTATATACCATCACCTACCTCATCTGCCAAAGCCTGAAGATCTGTGATGGGCCTGTTTAGTTCAGCTGTAACATATTTGACGAGGTCTGCATGTAGCATCATATCAATTATCTTCTCTAGTTCAGCCAACTGAGAACCTAAATGCCTACAAAAAAGGTAATAAAATGCATTGTGGTCTAACATCAATTATAAATATAGATACAAACCAAAAAAAAAAAAAAAAAAACAGACAATCCCTCAAAATCAAACTTGAGGAGCATAGAAAAAGAAAATGCCAGGCCATGAATCTAGAGAAGTTATCATACAACTCCCTCTAAGATAGGGTCTAAATAATAGATAAAGAATAGTTTTGGGTAGTGAAAAAGTTTTAAAATATTGTATATGAAAACAAAAAGAAAAAAAAATGAATAAGTTAAATCAGTTTATTTATTTCTTTATTTAGCAAGAACAGAATAGGAGACCAATATGAAACTGTTTATGTCTTATAAAGATATTGTATATTGGCATATTGAATTTGAGTGATCAATATATTCCCTATTATTTTTTCATGTTCTACATTTTTTAACTGTTAAAAAAAAAAAAATTTAAAATAAAATAAAAGACAATACCAATAGTATGCTATCCGGATAAACAAGTCCCACACCTTATATATATATATATATATATATTTGTACATTTGAGGAAGACTAAAGGAAATAATTAAAACAATCTCCCTTGTGAAAAGACTTAATTCAGTGGTGAATAATTATTGAGGGTGTTCGCAAAACATAGAATTTTCCAATTTATTTGAGGATTTTTCCTTCAATTCCCAAAATTTTTTCGAAAGGGCTGTTTGGTGTTTTAATTTGGGATTGGTGAATGAGTGTTGCTGTGTATTGATTCACTTTTTAAATTCTCCTGCAGAAATGCTGATGTAAATATTATGGTTTGTCATATTTTCTTTAGGGGTAATGGTTGCCTGGTATACTACCCTAGTAGATCTGCATTTGCCCTCTAATGGGCAGTTTTCCTTAATTCTACAATTACAGGGGGTTTCCATGTTAGATTTTTTTTTACCCCTGGAATTTTAAAATGTAATTGTTATGGGAATTAATTATTTGGTACATATTATCAGTGCAGGAGTAGCTAATTTTGATTGACTTCCTGCTGAATATCTTATTTAGAGGATTTTTATTATTATTTTATTAAATTTAGGAAGTACTGCCCAATGTTGATACTCAACAGTTTGCAGAAGGGAGTGGTTGAACCAAGTGGTTTTTCTTTTCCTATTTTAACACCTACATTCCACTTTTCATGTATCAGTATTACTAATGGTGGTCGTGTAAGACAGCTTACTTTTGAAACCACTTTTTTAGAAGGCCTTTTGTATAGTTCTTTATTTTTATTAAAGATTTTTTCATTAGATGATAGTTTACTAACCCATTTTTTCAATCTGGGTATTTGTCTTAGGATTGCATTGGGATTGTTAGAACCGATATTAATATAGTTGGGGGGGGCTTTGTTCTCTTCATGGTAAGGTTGAAAGGTTTTATCATTAAGGTTAAGGGTGATATCTAGGTAGTCAACTATTCTAAGGTTAGAGGAAATCTGTCTTAAATCCTAAGAATTTGAAGGCCCTGATAATTTTCTTTTGTAATTTTGCTGTTAGTAGACCATTAGTTTTAGGGATGAGCCCATCATCCCTATACAGTCCTATTAGTTCCAGTTTTACAATTCTACTAAACACATCTAAAATGTAGAAACATACTAAGTCTGCAACTTGGGCTGAGTCATACACTCCCATGGAGACATCAAACTTGTCATTGTGGCACTTAGTCCAGGTGGAATTATTCAGTGTTAGCAGTGACTTTCTCAACATTAAGATGATATTAGTTTCATCATCCATTATTTCTATATAGTTCTTAGTTGATACTATTGACCAAGAGGTTCCTAGTGATAGAAGGAATAGAAGTCAATTATATCAAACTTAATGAACATCGCTTTATCCTTATTCCTCATATTAGCAAACCATTTAATAATGTCAGACAAATCCTTTCAAAGGTTAGTACTGGTTGTGATTAGTGAATTGTCAGTATTATATTTTTTCAAGATAAGGTCTATTTCTGTTTCCATTGGATTTATAAGTCAAGATTGTGTACTGTTAGTGAAGTTCTGTTTATGGTCCTTAAATAAAATGTAGGCATCCTAGGTAGGTAGAAACTGATACAAAACTACAAACAATGAAAGGTCCTAGCCATAAATAAACTCCAACCCCAGACCACTTCCCCTGGGATAAGATACCTTCGCCCCCACCAGTTGCTAACACAAACCTATTCTCATTAACAAGGTGTCTACCAAAAGAAGACCAACATTAAAAATAAATTTAAAACAATGATTCGAGACAGACGCTTAAGGGCTGATGATAGCCGCAAATAGAACAACTTGAAATAGACTATCCCATGTTGAGGTAATTTTTGTTTTTTACCCCTCTCTATAGCTTTCATTTACTCTAACATTCGTCCCACACTCTCATACATACACTCTCACTAAATTTTATTTTTTATTCCTGGAGTTGTTTTTTCTGTCTTCTTTTTGAATTTGTAGGTCTGATGAATTGGATCATATTTACAATTCCAATGGAATAAATTATGACCATGGAATATTAGTGTTTAAGCCTTTTTATTATATCCTTACTCTGTCCTGGACATTGAGTTCTACCTGGATTCTATCCTCTTGGAATTATTTTTTATACAAATATATATGTATGTGTAGATATATTTATATATTTTAGATATATGATTGCATATGTATGTGCATAAGCATATATATATATATATATATATATATATATATATATATATATATATATATATGAGAGAGATCACATGACTAAGATATTAAAACTCATTTATTCAACATCTGTAAAGAAATTACAAATAAAAAATATTACTGAAAAGACCTATCAGATGTTTACTTTCAGAAAACCTTGCACAAATATTAAATTTATACAAGGATCCAGTTTTTGTTAATGTCTCTAACCAAACACAGCAAAACTGCACATTTTAATACAATACGATTAGAATGGTTTAATTTGAAGACTAAAGCAATTTACTACTTAATAATAGCTTGGGATTTGTCTTTATCTTAACCCCAATAATAATAATAATAATAATCTGATGTTTGTGTTTAATTAAAAAAAAAAAATCATATCATCATTGAAAAAGGAAAAGATTTCTAATTGCTACATAATGAAGTTTCTATATATATTTTTCTACAAATGAAATATATCATTATTTTATGGGTACCATTATTTAATTCAAAAATTATTCATCTTTTCATTTCTTTTTCTTTTCTTCCTCAACCAGAAATATGTTCACACTTTATAACAAATAACAATATTTTTTTTTTTGTGGTAAACATATATATTCAAAAATCATTTAGGACTTCACTCCTGTTGATTAGGGATTAGTAAAAGTACAAATAAAGCTAACTTTAAATTTTACATGTAGTTCAATTATATAGTATTTATTTATTTACAATAATTATAATAATAATAATTCTATAGAGAGGAAGTTTCTTGATATCAAGTTAACCACAACTTTTAAGTGATGAATAATAAATTCAATTTAAACTTAAATTTCAAATGCGAAAAAAAGAAAATTCATAGGTTAAACTAACAATTTAGATGAAACTCTCAAATGAAAACCAAACATTGACATATTTGAATAACTGCTAGAGAGTCCCAATAATGGTTATAAATTTCAACAATTCTTTTTAAAAAAAATATCAATTTTTAGCACAGAAAGAAAACAGCAGTTGATGGATATATGTTCATATATTTTCAGCTCTCACAAGTTTTACCTGAATTCTTTACAAATTCATTTTCAATTTTAAATTATGGTTTACATAGATCATGTAGTTTTTAAATTATTTAAAGCAGTATTTTTTCAGTTCATTCCTCTAATTTGCTTAAAAATGATAATATTGTAACATCTAAATTCATTATAAAAATATAAGTGAAAAAGAGAGAAATAACAGAATAATTGCTAAAATGTCAACCATATGGCACATGTTGGTTAATCAATGAAATTAAGTAACTTCAGAATCTATGATAGAAATCTGTAACAGCTGTTGTCAATAGTGGGGAATATAGATATGAAATTCAGGCTAAAGTTTCACAATTTTAAAATAAATAAGAAATATAAAAATATTAATCAGCTGTAGAGAACTTGGAATAGCAGAGGACTGATAAAAAAAAAATTCAACTTTTAGTAAAGTTCATTAAGACAGGATACTATTGAAAAGTTTTTGGCCAAGCTCACTTCTCAAAATATTTTTAAAATGCTTCTTGGCTGAGCCTGGAACTTTTCAGCACTTCTTCAGAGTTGCAGAGAAAAGGAAAAAATGATATCAAACCAAGTTATTTCAGTTGTCAGGGTTTTTCTTTTTAATCATTTCACCCCCAAGCAAGGAAATAAAGTCACTAAGATTTAAGGAGTTACTGAGGGTTAGAGAATATAAGGAAAAAAAGACTATTAAGGAGAGAGAATAAAAAAAGAACAGAAATTAAGACAAGATAATGATTGACATTGCATTTAAATTTTTGAAAATCAA